ACACATATCCTGAGCTCTCCAGCTTACATACTTTGGGGGTTTAGGTATAACTTACTTAGTAACTTTCAATTCATTTTCCATGTGGGTCTCCCTTATCGGGGTGATGTCCCGCAACCTCAAGGCCCAAATTATGTGTGTATATATATATATACCCATATAACCCTGTAACTGACTATTGGGGTAACATCATGATACACCCTTAAAGCTAAGCCCTAAATCCCTGAACCCTAAATCACTAAACCCCAAATTCTAAAACCCTAAATCCCTAAAGCCTAATTCCCTAAATCTCTTACACCTCCCTAGGCGGCCTACCAAGCTACTTGGAACTGGCCATTGGCCAGCAGTTTCCAGGACCAGTTTCGTTGCTCTTGATTGGCCATACAAGTTATAGTCTAAACTGCTTAAAGGGGGTTATATAGGGTGTAGGGTTTAGGGTCTAAAGTCCTTCAAGGGGGGTTTTATAGGGGATTATGTAGGGAAGAATTATCAGGGTTATTAAGGTGGGATACTAGGAGTTTACACTATAGCTCATATTGCTGAAAAATGCTGGCTGCACTAACTTGCGGTTTAGGGATTAGGGAGTTTAGGGGGTTAGGGTGTTCGTAGAAACTGACGAAGTGGAGAAGAACATTGAGGCTACAGTACTGTTGGGAGTTACATCAGGCTACTTCACAGATCCATTTCACAATTGCCTGCGAACAACCTCTACCGTGGTTCGAATGTAGCTTGTTGAGGCTGCAAGGAAGAGAAAATCACTTGCACATTGGCATAGCAGAGATGCCAGTAAGGAGCACCTTCAATTAGTTTTTCCACTGTCCTTCCTACCCTCAGTGTTGTGTGGCTAGCTACTACTTACTACAAACCAGTAAGCTTGTGCGGTTCATTCACAGAAAAAGAACACAGCTCATGTTGAAAGATTCCGCGCTGGGCAGGACCTGAGTGCCACCATGGCCATGCGCAAAGTACAACGCTTTGGCAGCCACCGCGACAACTCGCGCCCCTCCCTCGGTCTGCCAACCCAAGAAGATCCTATAAGGATTTCTCATATGGTTTAGTAGTATTCCCTTTATAGGTGCTTAGTATCCTTTGGGCAAGTAGTAATGCTGCATCAGGAGATTTGATGGCTTTCTAATTGATGGGATTTAGGGTTCAGGGTTTGGCTGGGATTCCCCCGATCATGTGACCTGGGCGATAGTCGCCCAACAGCCATCAGAAGTTCAGGAAACTCCCCTGTATGATCTTACTGGCTTCTAGTGCGGAATGGAGGAAGGCATCCCTGTGACGGCGCTATCAATAAACTCGTTTCCATGTTTTTTCCAGTCTTCAGTCCCTCCTAACAGCCAGCAAGTGGTAGTTTCCCAAAATAAGGGGACCCCAATATAGACCCCAAAATACTATAATCCTTATTATTGGGACCCAAAAAGGTACCCCTAATTTCGGGAAACCCCCCAAGTACTTTTGCAGAGTGTGGTCAAGGTGCTGGTTTTATGAACAGCTGGGCAGCGATGCGGGCTGTGCTTGAAGCAAAGTTTGCTGCGGAGTCACGCTGCGCGTCAGCTCTCATAAGCACCGATGAAGCCCTCCTCTTGGACACAGGCAGCAAGCATGTTCTGTTTAGGGTTTAGGGTTTAGGGTTTGGGGTTTGGGGTTTAGGGTTTGGGGTTTGAGAAGCATGTTCTGTGCATTCTTGCATGCTGCCATTTGAATCATGGAGAGGCAGAATCGCAAGCCATGCGTTTCTAAAGGTTTTCTTCCTCTGGTATGCGCTTGATTTGCAGGTGAGGGACGCACAGATCCTCCGGATGCGGCAGAGAAGGACTTGCGACATCGATAAGCAACCACAATACTAATCGTAGTCTCATAGCAATAGTAAGCAATATAGTAGCATGAACATCTTGGGAAATTCTTCGTCATGTGTGCCGGCCTCAGAGTTCACAAAAGCACACCACTTCGTACAATATCCTAGCGAGACTTGGAGATTCATTGGCTGTCAGACGTGGGATTGTTCTGTACCCTAGAAGGTTATAGGTCCCCAAGCTGGGTGATACTTACAGTCTTCGGGATCATAAACCCACTTAGAACTACCCATGGGTTCAGGGTTTAGGGTTTGTGGTTTGAGGTTCTGTCATGCAAGTGCAGCCTGAACAGGACCTGGTCGAGAACTGGCTGGGCCTGCTTCTGATGCTCATCCGAGACAGGCTGGCCGGAAAGTGCGGCTGGACCAGCTTCTTCCAAGGAATGATCGAAGCAGGGCGGCATGCCATTTCATGCCATCAAAGCCCCCACCCCTCTTAGAATGAGCATTCGCAAGATGATACATGTGCGCAATTCTCCATTGTTGGGGTCGAGGCCCCTAAAGTCCATATAACCCCGTATGGAAGCCCGTAAGCCCTATACAACCCTGTCTTTCAACAAGCAACCACCAACCCGAAGGCCTAAACTCTAAACCCTAAATAGTAGTTTCCATTCTATTTTCCATTATCCCAATATAACCCCAATACAACCAACTCCTCATGATCCAATATATCCCCTATAATACCTATATAACCCAGACCCCTAAGCCCTAAACCCTAAACCGCTTAGGACGAGAATTCCGGACTTCCCGTGGACGAAGCCAAAGTTGCCTCGTGGTCGGGAGCTGTGCGCGCAGCAGGTGATGCTGTACGGACACCTTGCTACTAGGGTTTAGGGTTCAGGGT